GCTCCGGGCCTCCTCTGCTGCTCGCGGCACGGGGTTCGCTGCCTGGCCTTACTGCAGGCTGACCAAGGGACTGTAGAGAGACATTGCTCTGTGTATGTTCGTATGAAGCAAAGAATTACAAAAGTAGCCTAGGGAGAGCTCTAGCACGTAGATAAAAGCCAGGAGCAGGTTCTTCACAGAGTGCAGTGGAAGGAAACCTGGCCTTCGTATCTTGCAGCGCAGCTGAAAAATCAGACGGTAGATGCGTAAAGCATGCTTGAAAAGTTTAGGTGGCCAAACTCTCATCTGTTGGGCGAGTGTGTATATTGCTTAGCCTCAGAAGTCCTCCCTGATTTAGCTTAGCAGCATCTTGAACTAAAGAAGTACGTAATTCACATCTGAGCAATAAAATTCTCAATTAAAACAAGAGGGGTACAGTAGCATTAACCTAGTGCCCGAAGTCGAACGTGAGAGCAAATGTAAAGTTTACTCTTAGCACTGGGAACTGCTGCGCTGGTGAAAGCACTCAGTCCTTGCCAAAAAAGTGAGTCAGCAGCGTGCATCTTGCTGTTGGGAGAGGTGGAGCTGCGGGGAGGGTGCCGGCTCCATGAGTCACACATATGTAGGAGATATTTCTACATCCTGTAAGGTTTAAGGAGCAGTAGGTTTTAAATTGATAGTACTAAATGCTTACAATGGTTATTTAAAACTTTCTGTAAATATGATTCTTGCTCCAGTAAGCATGACCGACTGAGAGCAGAGATGGCAACTGCTTCTCTGAAATACTTTCTGATCTCTTCTGTTGCAGTCGGCGCTGAAGAAGAGACTGATGGAGCTGCATAATCAGAGTGAGAAAGTCGCTCGAGCGATGAGCACTGTGAAAACAAACCAAAGCCAAGCTGCTGTAAGTGGGTAATTGTTCAAAATGCTGTCAGGTTGCTTGGCGTACACTGGCGACTGTGTGTGGTTGATGCTTGTGCTCTCGTGACAACGGCTGTTGTATTGAGATTGCATTGGCAGGAGAAGACGTTATTGGGAAGGAACAGAAAAGAGGCATTTTGGCAGAGCCGGGCAGCTCCGTGGGAGATGGGAGTGACCCAGCCACGGTGCAAAGGCTTTATACCCCCTCGTAATGGGGCTCAAACCCGCCCTTTCCTGTCGCACCAGGAACTGCGTATCTGTGCAGCCCAAGCGAAAGGATTAGTGAGCTGTAATGGCTGCACCAGTGCAGAAAGTTGGGATGTCTCTTCCCCATAAATTACCACAACTAATTCTTGCTCTTGGCTGACGATCGGCGTTGCTGTTTGTGCCGATGGATCGGGTACGTCTCACTTGTACCATCCTTTCTGAACCGAGTGGTAGAGACCAAGAAACTGAAAAGCTGCTGGGGTAGCACTTCTGCGCTCCTCTGGAACATCTCTCGGAGGATCAGGAATTGCTTTGTATTAACCAGAGATGCCGCATCTCGGAGGCAGAAACAGCTACAGCCGTGCAAGTGGGTGTGCGGTGTCCGAGCTGGCGGTGGCACAGCCCTGTCCCAGTGCTGGTAACCGCTTGCTGGCCTGGCCTCTGCCCGGCAGCCCCCGCAACTGGGGCCTGGACACTGACAACTGGCCTGATTTCTTGGGAGTAAATGAGTTTTCTTTCCAAACTACACAGAAATACATAGCTTTTCTATTGTCTGTTTCAAGTAATTGAAGCCTACGTGTTCCTCAAAGGCTTGGGTTTTTCCTGTAGTAGTAGTGAGCAGTACTTTGTCCACGAACTGTTCTTTTGAAACCAGTGTCTGTCTGTTCTTGTCTGCTCCAGGACATAGCTTCCAGAAGGAAAGATTTGATCAGAAATGAGTTTTCAGAAACTAAAGCTTTAATTGAAGAAAGAGAAAATCAGACCTTAAAAGTAATTGCAGATGAAGAAAAAAGAGTTTGCAATAAGTTTGATTTTATTTACGGTGTTCTGGGAAGTAAGAAGAATGAAATTCAGTCTCTCAGAGATCAGATTGAGATGGCACTGACTGAAGATGATGACGTTCTGTTTTTGAAGGTAGTATGTCCTTTAGATGCGAATCCAATTCTTCGTGTTTCTAGAATGCAGAATCACAAAAACCTGCTCTGGTTGTTCTACTCCAGACACTTTCAGTCAAATGATAATGCAGTTGTGTGCAAGATCTGCTATGAAAGGATGTACTGATAAGTACACAAGTATCAATGAAAGAGTGCTGAAATGGTGTCTGGTAATTCCCCCCCAATTCAGCCTTTGCCGCAAGTGGAGGGGCCAGTGAGTGAGAGAATTCATCTCCGTGAGGTGTTGCAGCTCCATGCCGTGGCACCATCTAGTAGATCTTTCTCACTGCTCCAGATATCAGTTGAGAATTAATGCATATGGGTTGCTGCTGAAACTTTGCCACGGGTTGTGTCTGACTGTAGCCTTTGCTCCTTTGAATTTGAGATGAATGCAGAAAATGCACCCCATTTAAAGGAACTTGATTGTATTTTTCTATGTCTGCTACACAAGGTGGTGTGCATGAGATCTTCTATTTCTCATTTCAGAGAGCAGCAGCACTGCAACGAACGTTAACAAAAGACGCTTTTGTCCCTGCAATTGAAATGGACCAAAACTTGATACATTCCACTTATCAATCTGCCATTAACCTTAAAGACATTGTGAAACTTGCAGTGACCCAGTGTCCGGAGAAAACAGTAGAAGGTACTGTATCACGGGGAGAATTGGCATTTTCTGCCTTGGCTTTGAGTTCAAATGAGGGCATCTTCCCCCTCCAATCCAAATATTAAAAAAAATAGTGCAGAAAATACAGTTGGTTAATATAAACTGTCTTCCAACTTCTGTGGTCCTCCATTTCCAAACAAAAATGCTACAGTCTGAGCTAAACTAGGAGAAAAAGTGTGTCAGTGCCTCTTTAATCTATACTCGGATAAGCTGATGAGTATCGTGATACTATGCCCTTCTGGCACAGCTCAGCCTTTATTCCGTACAGTAATTTATATTTCTATTATGTAGGAGGGTTGGATGCAGTTAGGATGTGGATTTGAGGGGAGACATAAAACGCTTTTGAGTGATAGGACTATGGTTACCCAACTGTAAAGGTGCTGATCGTCTAAGTGTTGTAGAACAAAGCCCTACTTACCGGGTTAAGCAAAAGTATCTTTTGGACTGGGGCATGGGTATCTTCTATGCAGTTTTTCTCTCTGCCAAGTATCACTTAAGTTCTGTTTGCACTGGAAAAATAAGATTGAAAAATATCCTTGCTCATGCATTACTGTTGCTGGCAATACAAACCATAATGTAAAATATCACCATTGCAGCACCTGGGAAAACTAAGCCCCCTCCAGCAGCTTCTTCACACAAAACCTCTGTTGGGAAAAAGCCTCCGGGACCACGTAAGTACTAAGGAACATCATCCTCTCCTAACTATGGTTTTACCATTAAATAAGAACTCAAGCAATTACCCAAGAGCTGTTTGCTCTAGCAGCGATGCAGTGATTATCCGTAGTGAGCACTTTGGCATGGGAAGGGGAGGGTGTTTTGGGCTATTTAGCGATGGATGCCTTGTGAGCTGTAAGGCAGCAAACTGCCCGGTACGTGGTGCAGCCCCAGTGTGCCGGTGCCCCCGCAGTGGTGTCAGTGCAGGCTGTAAAGCAAAGCAGAGCCTCCCCAGCCTCTGGTTCTTGCAGGGTTTTTTTCACTTGTACTAAACATCTGTTGGCTTGTTTGATGGATGTATTGAATCCTGCTTATGAGCTGTTCATGTTCTGGTTTTTTTCTTCCCCCACCCCCCTGCCTCAAAGAGCAAACCCCGAAAGAGAAAATCGCTCACCAGACTCAAGCCACTTTGCAGGTGGAGGCAGATACCAGTAAGTGGTGATTAATAGCAGCCTTACTCAAACATTTTGCTGGCCATGTCTCGCTTACAGTCTAAGGCTGGGGTGATGGAGAGAGTCTGTGTGGCAGGTGGGGCCTTCCAGTGTTATTTTGTCCAGATACTGGTATTAATGCGGCACTCTAGCCTGTTTGGAAGATCTTCCATATTCTCTTTTTGAAATAAATCCAATGCTAAGAAACTACTTCTGTTACTTCCACTGAGCTCTCGACACATGGTCCTTTCCATTCACAAGTCCTAGGTGTAGAGCACTCAACAGGGTCTGTTGTGGATTGCTGGAGTTGAATGAACTTGTAGCTCCTGTTGCTGCACTAGAAGATCTGTTGTAAAATGAAAAGGAATAGTCTATGTGCCTCATGGGAACAGGCTTATCACCCCTTGCCCTTACACGCTGCATCCTGGAGTAGAGACAAAACTCCTTCCAGGCTTGTGACCCCGTGAAATAGGAAGCAGATAGTATGTTGTGCTTCATGTGTAGCTTTCCAGTATGGGTGTATTTGTACATGGCTTCAACATGCTGGACTGTCAGCTTTATCTACTTATGCAGCTTCAGAAGAGCCACGATGACGGTGTTACAGCTGGCATGGCCTGTCAGTGGCTTTTCAGTCTCAATAGAACTCACAGTTCACTCTTTTTTTTTTTTTTTTTCTTTTTTTTTCTCTCTCCAGAGGAGAAAAAGAAACCTGTTAAAGTTGGTGAGTCCAAACTTTCAGCATACTTATTCTCATTTTCATTGACTGCTCTTAAAAAGATAAATAGATGGTCACTAGTGTTGGTGTATTAAGCACAAGTTCAACTCTTGCTCTGAGAAGGCTCTTACTAGTCACTGTCAGAGCGATCAAACACCGAAAGAGGTTGCCCAGAGATCGGGGGATTTTCAAAACTTGACAAGACTGTGAGCAACCCGAGCTAATACTGACGTTAACCCTGCGTGGAGGAGGAGGCTAAACCAGTAACCTCTAGAGGTCCACTCCAACCTGAGGGTGTCCGTGACTGTGTGGTAAGCATGCAGGGGTTCTTCCCAACTGGCCTAACTCTCTTTTCTTCTGCCGACACAGCACCAACCACGGGAACGGTAAATGCTGCAGCTGCCGCTGCAGCTAAAGAGCTTATTGACAGCTTTCTGAAGAAATCCAGAGAGGAGCTTTTGCAGTGTAAGACACCCAACGTCACACTACTTAAAGATGAACTTTCTGCACTTATTGCACTGGTGTTATGTGCCCTCCGTAGTTATCTGACAAAATTACTTTTGAGGGGGTTTAGTTAGCTTAGTAGGTTATCAACTAGTTGTTAAAAATGAAGGAAATTTTTGGAGGAAAAGGGGGCAGGAGGTTTCTAAGTGGTTCTTTTGCCAGCTGAATCAAATTTATCTTCAGTATTCATGTGTCTTTATGAAGGTAAATGAAGTTTTCTCAGTAATGACTTTGGTTTCCCCCAAAATGACTGCATTAGGGTAGCCTAGAAATACGACGTAACCCACTGGATTTTTCTTTGAAATGAAATGCAGGCTTTTACATGAGCCCATGATGGCTTGCTTAAGATGCTATACCAGATGGTATACATTTCGCTGCCAGATCAGCAATCCCCTCCTTCTGCCAGCATATATTTGGGTGTTGAAGGAATCCCATGGGGATGCAGGAGGGAAGGAAACTCGCCCTCCATTTGCCTGCTGTAACACAGAGCTGCAGCTGAACCCAGCAGCTATTACTGTGGCCCTAGGAACTGCCTGCCCTGTGGAGGAGAGCAGAGCAGGCAGATAAACACGCATGGGAACAAGCGCCTAGGCAGGATGGTATAAATAAAAGCGCTTTGCTCTTCAGTACCTTCAAACGATTCGTGTCATTGCAGATGCTGCTAACATCACGCTGGATTACAACACAGCCCATAACAAAGTGATTCTGTCTGAGAGGTATACCAAGATGTCTGTCTCGGACACCCCCCTGCATTATAACCACCACCCGCAGCGCTTCACCGATTGTTCCCAAGTGCTGGGCTTCCAGTGCTTCAAGAGAGGCATCCACTACTGGGAAGTGGAGCTGCAACAGAACAACTTCTGTGGCATCGGCATCTGCTACGGCAGCATGGCCCGGCAGGGTCCAGAGAGCCGCCTGGGGAGGAACAGCAGTTCTTGGTGTATTGAGTGGTTTAATTCCAAAATATCATCCTGGCATAATGATGTTGAAAAGTGCTTGCCCAGCGTGAAGGCTACCAAGATTGGTGTGCTGCTCCACTGTGAGGGAGGGTTTGTGATTTTCATGGCTGTTGGGCAGAAGCATAACTTGATCTATAAATTCAAAACCCAGTTTACTGAAGCCTTGTACCCTGCCTTCTGGGTATTTTCCAGTGGCACTGTTCTCTCTCTCTGCCAAGCGGAACAGTAAGGTCTCATATCTTCATTTAGTTTGCCTAAGTACTTACATATAGATAATCAGTTCTGCAGCAACTCTTTGTACGTCTTAGTCTAAGCAGCCTCGAAGATTTTGTTTGAGATGAAAATTATTAGCTCTTCTAAGCAGTTTGGGAAATCTGCTGATTCTTTGGGCTGAATGGCTAAAGCCTTTAGATAGTGATTTAGTAAAAGGTTGATGATAGTAAAAACTATGATGAAAGGTTTTGCAAAGACCTTGATTGTCTTCTAAAAGCAAAGTTATGATACGAACCATTGTTAAATGTCTTCAGTAGCTGCTGTGGCTGCTGTGGTTTGCTGTAAAGGATCCTCAGAATTGATTTTCAGGTCTAAGTATGTTTCACAGGTAGCAATAGCCCCTTTGAGAAAGAAACAGGAAGAATTCCTTGACAAATTCAGGTTCCAGACTTTGAGGTAGGTCTCGGTGTTGCCTTTTTCTCTGTACGCAGACTGTTGTCCACAGTCAGGATTTGCAATACACGTGTTCTCAGTGTATGGCTCCATGAGATGGTACAGAACGAACTATTAAAATCACTAAGTTCAAGTCTTATGACGCTAAGTTATAAACGCCAATACGACAAATCTCATCAGAATGGAAATGCAGAGACTTTGAGAGTTGATGGATAAGAAATGGTGTCAGAATCACCAGGAAATAAATGACATGGACTCAGAGACTGGGAATACGCCAGGGAGTCTTCTGGAAGAAATCCTGCAGAGCAGTAGTGTGCGCCCTGTAATAATACAGTTTGTGGGATGAAGCATTCTGTCTCGTGTTCTGACCCAGAACATGCTTCACATCTTCACACTGAAGGCTCTTCAGTGTTTTTTTTGTGTGCTGAGGAGTTCAGGGAGTGCATTTTTGGCTTGCATAGGGAGCATAAATGTGCTGTTCACTTAGAGCAGGGTCTGCTGTCGTAAAGCTTTCCCTCTTCGTGATACTCTCTGCTGGTGTATCTTTAGTTGTTCAGGTGGTAGAAACTGGATTTCCTACACGTTATTGGGATTCTGATTTGAGGAGTCTCAAGACGGTGTGCACAGTACATAGAAAATGCTGCTCCTCTCTGCATGAAGCCTGCAGGCGGACAGGTGAATCTTTTGAGACATACAGGGAATTAGCACAAAGGAGAATATACTCCCATTCCCACTGGGATGGATTTTTAATTCTCCTGGTGTTCTTTGCTTTGGTATGTCTTCAGAAGTCCTCACCACGTACAGAGGAATCTGTACTTCTGCATTTCTTTCTTACAACTTTAAAACAATCAATAGGCAATCAAGGTATTTGGATCTTACAGTTATTGGGCCTGTATCTTGTTGACGCCTCTGGAGTTACCATGCTAGCTCTTACTTCTTGAGTAAACCGTGAAGAACAGGAAAGCTCGCATGAGAGACTTCCTGGACTTTGGTTTGTAAAACTCCCCCTTATGGGACTTGGTGAAAGAAAACCGCGGGCAGTTTAGAAGGCAATTTTGGAACGCTCAAGGAAACCTCTGTGACTACGTTTCACATTAGCCAAAGTGCTTTAGAGAGAGACTTGCAGGAATTCAGGCTTGGTTTGTAAACTCTTAGTACTTTGTCAAGGGTAGCGTAAGTCTGATCAGACTCTTCCATTTCTTTGGCCAGAATAGGCTATGGAATTGATGGTGGACCTAAAAGTGCCATGGCTGGCTTTGGGGTAGTTGCATTACCTGAAGGGTCTCAGCTTTCCAAAGCGCAGTCAGCACTCAAACTACCAAACTAAGCAAAACATTCCAAAAGGTGCAGCAGGAGGATGTGTCCTGCCAGGAGCCAACAATGAGTGCAACCCCCCCCTTTTTTTTTTTCTGCACTTCCAGTTTTTCAGCGGTGAGGGACAAGAGCAGTTTCCTCTGAGAAATCCTGTCCCTTTAGCTGCTTGGCTGTAACGCGGGGCTGCAGATCCGCTCAGCGGGGTGCCGAAGGAGTACTCTGTCCCCTTGTTCATGAAGTGGTTTGTGCAGTGGAGGAAGTCCACATTTTCTATTGCTCGCTTCTTTACTTTAAAGGGGTGTCAATATTAACCTCTAAGTCTATGGGCTTCGTTAGTCATAGTCTGGAGTGATACTCGAGCAACGTAAAGAGCAGCTTTTATTCTGCCATGCTGGACAAGGTGGGATTCTTTAAATGTGACATTGGTGTATGACCAACAGTATGTAACACATAAGGTGTTCTGGATTACCACAGGCAATGAAACAAGCCTGCCGCTGTATTCCTGATTCTCTTTTTTGTTTGTTTTCTTTTGTGCTATGAATGACTAGGAATGATAGAATGAGTTTCTGTTAATTTGGAATGAAATGAGAAATGCATAACTGAATTGCTGCACTTCTGAAAACTTACTTTGGTTAGCTTCAGATAACTTAGATATATCGAAATATTGGGGTGCTGTAACACAAGAAAAAATACTAGTTACAGCATGATAAATAACGGTTGGAAAACCGCTTTAACACAAGTGAAGTGTTTTTACTTGGCCAGTGACTATCAAAGCTGTACTGGTTTTAAACAAAATGTAGATACAAGCACATGTTTTAATTATACTTCTCTTTTTAATACCATAAAGAACCCAACTTATCCAGTCTAGAAAAAGAACTAATTCTGGTGTTAATAAAGCCATGAGGATGTGGAATGATTTGCATATTAACATACAAGTGAGAGTAAATGGAGAAACACTTGCCTACTGAAAATACACCCATCTGTTTAAATTTAACCTTTTCTTCAACGAAACACATTATAAAATACTGCAGTTAGAAAAATAAATGCTTATGTAATTATAAACCTATTGATTGTACTGATATATCCGCCATGTACTTCAGTATGCATACTACATGTTATTTCGTATAGATGTGTCAGCTAGACATCCTTGTCAGGGCAACAGACATAGATTTTATGCCATCTGTTTTATGACTGTGCCTGTAACTGTTTTAGAAGTTGACTGTTGTTGATCTTTTCAGCTGGAAAGTGAATGAATTGTGATATTTTGAATTCAATAAATTTCATGGTAAATCCTAACTCCAACTGTTTTGTTCTGTGCTCAAAGTTGAAGCAAGCAGTAAGGAAGGCAGAAATAAAGATGCTATAGCGTACAAATAACAGGTCTTCTACTGCATAACGCACTGAGTTATACGAGAACTGGGGAAGAGAGAAAAGATGGAGAGCTGCACAGGCTGTGGTATTCTCTGGACTGTCAAATGCCATCCTAAACTATCTCCTTCACCTGAGCTATGCACCCTTTACCAGTAACGCTGCATCCTAGCCAAGGATGAGGGGAACATCCTATCCAGTAAAAGAAACCAGAGACCTTTTTGGGGAAGCAAAGACATGGTCATCAGCTGGAAGAAGATGAACGACTAAGGACTCGGTATGCAATGGGATTGCTTAAAAAAGCCTTAGGTGATGTCCAGCATCTGCCAGCTTAAGTTACATCTGGAAGCAGCAATGGCTGATGATTCCTAATATTACTCAGGGAGATCAAACTAAAGGGCTTGTGGTTTGCGAGCTGCTGCCTCCCCGTGGGGCCAGTGGAAAGCAGCTCAACAGGGAGCTGCTCTGGTGGCTTAAATAGACTTTTAAAAATTAGCCAAAACAGAAGTGCCCACAAAACAAGCTACACGTTGACTTTTCCACTTAAAGTTCTCCAAGTGAGTTAGGCTGATGAAGGTCTTGGGGAATAAACTCTGAAGGGTTCCAAGAGAGTCAGACAAGGGTATTGCTTGATCAGCAGTGGCAGGTAGTAAAAAAACCAGGGGGAAAAAAAAAAAAAAATCCTCATCTTCGCTAACTGCTTGTCCCATGATGTCCCTGGGATTAAGAGGTCAATTAGGTCTGCCAGAGTTTGGCCTCCAAAGACAGACAAATAGATATTCTGAGCCTGCGTAAACTTGACGGTGACTGCAGCCTGGGGCTTGAGCAGGTACTGAAACCCTGGGGGAGTCAGCATGCTTGTTGCTCATACAAGGTCTGTTTTCTTACTTGCTAATGTAATTTCCTCTGGATTTAGCTTGGTGATCACTTTTTCACAGCAAAAGGAACAACAGGCTTGGACTCCAAATCATATTCTCTGGGAACATACGTGAAAATGTTTATCAAGATGTTTCCTAATACTTGTTTCTCTTCCTGAAACAAAATTGTATTTGGCTAGTGTTTAACAGACTGTCTTTCTACACCCAGTTCTCTGCCCTCCTCCCGTCTCTCCCCCCCTTCCCTCCCAATTGAGTGGCTGCTACTTCTCAAATCATCAATATGTCAGTTAAAAACGTGTCACGGTGTGGTCATTGTATGACTCCTATTCAAAGTTCCTGTCATTTAGACTTTCATTGGCAGCTATTTTGTCCCATTAAAAAGTTCAAGACAGCAATTTGTGAATCTTGCTCAGCCAACTAGGACTGTGAAAAAAAAGGAGTTAGTTCAAAAGTCAATTAATTGTGGTCTGTCAGAGTGCTCCTCATTCAGTTTTTTTCCAGGCCTTGTACGGGCTCACATCTGTCAGCCCCGTGTTTCCCAGGCTGCTATCAGATGCCGTTACATTGAAAATAATGGGTTTACTCACACCATTTATTGGACTTTGTGTGGTAGACACATTTGTATATCATTTTACAGTGTAACAATCCAATTTACATAAAATATAGGCAATTATGTGAGTCCAGCCAAACCACGAAGGAAGGGTGGGAGGAGCCACCATTAAAATAATAAAAGCTAATGGAAAAGAGGGAGATAATTTAAGTGAAAATACCATCATGAGCAATTCTTGATCCTAAGTTAGTTCAACAGAACTTAAGGACGTGAGTTAGTTATATTTTATCTGTGTTTGTATTAGACTCCTTAATGTTTTTCAATGTAAAAAAAGAATTTGTACTTTTTACAGCACCTACACTCCATTTTAAAAATCAAGTAGTTCTTAGTGGAGGAAGAAAGGGTTTTTTGCTTTAGGGTTAGGTTTTTCCCCCAATTTAGAGAGAGTTCCACATTTGTCTGTACAGGAATGTTGTGCCTTAGAAGCCTGATCCTGCAAATCCTACTTTTATTCTCCTGACTGCAACAAGGTAATTTGTGTATGGTTCCATTTATACCAAGTTGAAAACAAAGTTTTAGACCAAATTGTCAGCAACACTTTTCAATGAAGTGTAACAGTTTCTCTTTTGGAGTCAGGAATATCATTCTTGCAAAAGAAAATCTCCTAGGATTCAAGTCAAGCATTCATTTTGCGTGGAACTGATGCTCAAGCAGTTTGGCTATCCTTAATCTTGGCACTGTAACAGTTAAGGACACTGCAATTTTGCTGTAACTCCTGAAGTCCACAGTGAAGTGGGCTCTTGCTCCGTGGCACGCTGTAACGACTGGTCTGACAGCAGACCTGGAGCCCCCATGGTCCCTGTTGGCCCCCGATTCATTTCAGGTACTCGCCTATGGATGACAGTGAGAGTATTCCTTTAACTAGTGAGATATTATTTCCCTGAAGACAGAGCAATGGCGCTCTCAACCATTGCTAGGATTATATCCTGAGACAAAATTATAAGTATGCTAAGTATGACTGTACTAATTACAGGAGCATGAATTACACATCTCTAAATTATCATTATCACTGCAGCATACTGAAACCAAAACTCATCACTTTGAAATGAAGAAAAGCATTTAGAAAAACTGTAAATATTCTTAATTCTGACTCTCCATGACTATTTTGGAAGCCTTGCTAGACTTCAACAGAATGAGATCAAGACCATTAAAAAGGGAGAAAAGATAGACTCTTGGTCAAGGACAGAAGAAGAGAAAAAATTATTCCCCTTCCCATGTTGAAGTTAAACACACAAATCTCTGCAGAATGAGCTTGTAGGAGAGGTGTTAAAACATGGGCGCTCTCACTGACAGCAGAAGGTGTTAGATCCTTGAGTCAGCGGCAAAACTCAGCATAACCCCCCGATTTCAAGACTTTGGCACGCATCTCCTGTGCCTTCCCACTAGAGCTCTCGGGGTCTCCGAAAGCCACGACTTTGCCATTTCATACCGTGACAGAAGACTTATCATCCTACTTTGTTATACAAACAGGGTTCTTATCCTTTTGTTTGAGACAAAATATTTTCAGTGAAAAATATTGAAACATTTACTTAAAAATAATAATAGAATTGGAGAAAAGGAGTGAATGAGTCAAACCTCTAACAAAGGGAATAAGCCTGTATTCATGTAATTAATTTCCTACAGAATGGTGTGTTGAAAATTCAGTGCATTTGAAACAGAAAAGGCAAGGTAGACATGAGGAAAAGACCAGCTGCATTCAAAAAGGGCCAAATCCTCATCCAACTCAGTCAAGAAGACTTAGCCCGCAGCGTCTATCCACAAACCTTTACTTCATGGTGTTGGCCCAGTCATTCAAAGACTCATTCAAGATTCTCGCGGCTCTTCTGTCTTTCAGAGAAGGGGGGAAACATCCCGTCCCTCTTTTGATTCTCTATCTACACATCAGGCACAAGTCCAGCAAAGAACAAATGATTAAGTGCCTGAAGAGCCCTGCTGCTTTAGGAAATGTTACAGATCAGAAGGATTATGGAAAAGGCTTCACTTCCTTCCTGGAAGAGGCTGAAAGACTTAAGCTTGCAGTGCCGAAGGGGAACACGTTCAACTTGCTTCCCTCACTAGAGATAATTCATTGGGTTAAATTCAACCACAGTAAAGAAAGAGGATCACCCGTTTGCCTGCAGTTGTTCACAAATGTGTTTTGACTCTAACTTAGGTCCCCCCTTCCCATACCAGCTCTAGCTCAAATCTTAAAGTTGGCACTAATGAGAGCTGGCACCCAAATTCCACCAAGAATTCTCTCTCACTGCCTCAACTCTCCATATGTGAAACAGTGATGGTATTTAACCCCTTCTGACCCAATTTTCCTGTATGCAGAGTTGGAGAAACCGATCCCCAAAGACTGAAAAAAACCCCCATGAAGATGAACATGAAGATGCTTTTGGCATCCTTACTTTGTTTTTAGGTACCTATTCCCTGATTACATGAATCACTGTGCTTTTGTAAGGCTGCCTGGCCCTATTAATCCATCTTGAAAGGAGGAAAATCCACAGAATTTTTGAGAAACAATTGAATGAAGAGTTTGTTTGGTGTCATAAAGGATGCTTTCCCTTCTATATGGTTCTTGAACACAGAACGACAAACTCCTGGGATGTGGAACTTCCTGTAACAGATCTCCGGAACTGTACTGATTATGTCTCCTTTAGGATGTCTAAGACTCTTTTGAAAGGTTTTATCATCTACAGAGAGAACAAGCAACAGAACAGGTCTTACATGGAAGATTGCTGCTTTATGGAAGATGCTGACTCTAACCGTTAAGCAAGAATTATGGTCAGCTGTAGCTTAAACTCCTTGTTGCTGTTCTTCACCTCTCTTACTCCCAGTCCACCTTTCTATCTTTATAAATTGGCTTCATTTTTGCTGGTTTGAATGCTTCATGCCCTCAATACAGTTGCTCTCTGCCCGTTCTTTTGCAAGGGGGGGCAAATAGAGCAGCGTGTGTGAACTCGGGATACATTCAGTGACATACATAATGAAGCAGTGGGCATTACAAACTGCTTGCATAATGTTTTGTCTCTCTCTGTTCAACCTCTTGTTGTCCGAGAAGACTAAAATGAGCACATAAATGCAACCGTTGCCTCCTATTATACATAAACTAACGCAGCCAGTGGCAAGGAAAATTATTCCCCTTTAGCTTTTATTCTACCGTGGCTAAAGAAAGGACTCTATGTTCAGTTAGAAACTATGTGAGGTAAGATGCCAAGGGAAGAAATATTGCTTGCTGCCTTCAAAACTAAGTACTTGGAAAACCACAATATCACCCCAGGCTGAGAGAGCTTAAGACACCGGGAGATGAAATTAAAATGCCCTGACCTAACCACAGCGATAATGGCTGTCCACCTTGTCACACTAACAAAGTCATTGAAATTAAAGACTGTATGACCTGATCTTGCGTTACTCTTCCACTCCTTTACTGCTCTTCCACAGATTCAAATTTTCCATCTTATCCCAACGGAAACACTGGCTGCTTTGCCCCAGTGTTACTCATGTCTCTATCTAAACATCCTCAGTCTTGAGGTTGGAAGAAATTTGGACCAAATGTAAACAGCAGTAGCACTACTGATTTTAGCACAGCAGAACTTTTTTCGAGTGTGGGCACTCTCTACATTACATGTTTTCCCCAGAAAAGTCCAAATATTTGTTTAAAATCTGAAACAAATGAAAACAAAAAGATTTTCTCCAAAAAAGCTTTTTCCCCCACCACTTGGAAACATTCAGGTACCTCTAATAGTTACTGGTACCATGACAGTAATCTCAACTCTATGCAATATAGGGAGATTACAGTCAAATAGAATTAATATATTGAACATCCATGATCTCTAATAAGGTCTTCATTATTCTCACTGATTGCAAGGATTTCAGGTTGCTCATTGCAAAGCTGACAAGCCCACAGAGCTGTGGATAAATCACCAGATCACACGTGTTTTTAAGGATGTTATTTCACTTCACACTGGGTCATTTTAGTTTTTCAACCACTCATTCACTAAACTACTTATTTGCTTTAAGAAGAACACATTTCAAAGGGATGATGCTCTATGAAAGCAAATATTAACTATGACATTAATGCTGTATGAAATGGCTAAGACCCCTTTAAAAGGCAAAACCCCGCACAAGTTTGACATATCCAAATATACAAAACAAGAAGAAACGCAGTACCTCCGATCTATACTAAAAGAACATATTTTATCTCATATTCACAAATGCAAATACCAACCAAAGAAGAGTACTCCATTTAAAATCTCCAACGTAGCATTGATTTCCAGCTCCCAAACCCCACGTACTCGGATACCCCTGTACACCCTCCGATACCTCGCAACAGCCAGTTCGCTCAGGTCCTTCCTGCTGGGCACCGAACACCAACCAGAGTTAGTGGTGGGCCCAGTATGAACACCAAGTATTACATTCTCACGCTGACAATGCTACAACCAAAACTTCTGATTATTTCAAGGCATTTCCCAAAGATCTTTTCTCACCTGGTAGTGATACAGCGCTAGTGTTCATGTCAGCTAAAGCGCAGTATCCTGTTTGCATGGGGAGCAAAATCAGACGCCGTCAAGCGTGCAGAAATCATCAGCGTGCTGCAGAATTACATCAGCTGTGATTCTGCCCCAAAGGGTTAGTTAATCTCTCTGTTAACATACAGAAGGCAAAAAACGTGGCAAACTTGCCAACTGCCTGAAAGTTTAGTAACTATGGCTAAGACTAGTGTTGGCATTCATTTTAAAAAAAAAAAAAAAAAAAAAAAAGGAGCCATTCGGAGGGGAAAACAAGCAGAGATGGGGGAGGAGAGAAAAAAAAAATAAAGAAAAAGTACATACTATGTACACAGAGCAAAAGATGTTAGACAGAATTTTGTAATACTGAGCACAAGCTGCTTTCTAACCACAAAAAAAGACAACTTTTTCAAAATTCAGAGGTTTTTTTTGAGGCAAAGAAGAGGTGAATAAGGAGAAACTAATGCAACTAATGCAAATGTGGATTAAAAGTCAGAGTTTGCAGGGCTCACAGAGCCGTTATCTTCAGGAAATCCTCCAGGCCCCAGTTTTGGTGAAATGGGTAGCTTCAGTCCTTGGTTTTAACTCTACTTCAGACTCAGTATCCAAAAACTGGGCTGAAATTTTTCAAGTCTCAACTCCAGCGTCACTCGGGTCAGTTGAGCTGAAACTCGCAGGGGTTGGCTTTCCCTGGCAGCCCCGTAAATGAACATGAAATCTTTAAAGCGAGGAGCACAGCCCAACCACGCTTCACCAAAATGTTCATTTCCAGTAAAAAGGAAATCTCCACCTCCCTTCTTCACCTTGCATCGTAGCAGGGTTCGTATAGGGCCTCGCCATTCCCCACTCGCTTCATCCTGCTGGAAAATTCTGTTTTTCTGTCTGTAGACTTTCTGGACGCCGACATCAACCTGTGACACGTGGTTCTCTGAATCGTGGGAAACATTTCGGATAGATCCTTTCACCACTAGATGTGAAGAAGACAGGAGCTGGTTACGGAGCAGCAGGTAAGTAGTTCAGGGACTAGGAGCTGACTGAATGAAATAATTGGAGAAACACATTTGTTGGGCAGTTTGTAAGCCCACCACCTACAGGTGGACACATTTCTGAGCTTACACTTCTGAGCTTTCCTCCTTTACACGGGGGATCCCTACGCAAACAGTGCTACGTGCTTGGAAGCATGCTTTCTGACCACTCAGATCAGCTACATCTGAGGAAAAAGCGTATCACTCGCTTGATAATGCAAAGCAGCAGTAAAGCACGTGAAAAGAGGTCAGCTCAGGGATTCAGTTTTTTCAGTCTTTGTTCCAAGACAATGACTGTCACAGACCACCCCCTTCCTGTCTCCAAAGGAAAAACTCTGAAGTTTTTCCTTTGACAGCAGTAACAGAGGTGGATCCAAGAAGAATTAGAATATGATTTGATTGGAAAAAATAGGAGCTTGTTAAACGTTTTAGATTTAAAGGTTTGAGATTTTTTTCCCCTCAAAAGAAAATGGCACTCACCCATCAAAAGACACTTTGGGAGCTGATGAACAACATGCAGGACTCTTAAAGTGGCTTTGTTTGAAGCCTTTTTTAAAAACCACATAGCATACACGTACCTCCTTCTCCCAAAATGATCCTAGCTGTTTTCTGGGAACGAAAGCATAATAAACCATAGTCTTTCTGACTGAAAGCATCCTTTGCATCAGCCGTGCATCCCATCTGACAGGTGTTTGCTGTCCCGAAGCCACCTCTCTCATTCTCACCACCCCCATTTTTCACAGCAATCAATTATTCTTCTATTAACTAAATGAATTTCAAGCCCATACCCAGAGAAGGCTCAGAAAGAAACACGCCACCATTTGAGCCAAGAGCTCTTGAGCAAATGAGAGGTTACCAATGCAACGGGAACATCACTGTGCTTCTGCCACAAAACTCTTTCATTCAGGTACAGAGAACTCAACAACCCGAGAGACAGAAAAAGCTTATTTCTGAAGTTTCCAAGAACTTCCTTATGTAATTCCATTTCCAAGGGAATCCGGAGTTTTGTGTAACAGATGTCTCTGCTCTCCGTCTCCCTCTTTGTGTGATCATTTTTAATCAGATGCCATCAGTCTGTTGACAAGCTATAACGCACTTGTTCCTGGCCCTCCAAGTTGCTCCTGCGCTGCTCAGGGCCCAGTGACTGAAGACCTCCATCATAAGAATAACTATAAAGCCCCTATTCACTTCCCAGTGTCATTTACACTTTCATTAGCAGCTAATCAAAAAAGCTGATGGTAGCGATTTGTGAGCTTAGGGCAGGAAAATCAGGCCGTAAATAAACAGTTCAAAGGGCTGTTTCTTCTGCTCTGTGGCTGCTGTAAGTGTGGGTGCCCCCGTTGTGTGCCTGGCCCCCCCCACTGCCAGTCTCTGGGCTTTCAGGCGGTGCAGAGGGAGAGCGCCTTGCATGGGAACTGCTAACTTCATCCAGTGGAAACAATGGTCTGGATTGCGTCAATTAATTTAGAAGAAGAAGAAAAATTACCAGCTAAGGAGCACTCTAAGGGAAGCACGCTCCACACTCTGTATTAGCACAATGATGTTGGCGTTTGATTTTATCAGTAGCCTTGAAGCATGGCAACCCCTAGTAGAAAAGCAGCAATTTGGTTTTTTAAACATTCAATAGGGGTAAATATAGTTCATAGTTTTATTTCTTTACGTAGGTACATTTACAGCAATATAATTGTGGCCATGTGGAGAGGCAGCTCTACAGCTTTAGCTATTGGACATAATCAAAGAGGTATAAATTTTCATGTGCAAAACTATGGGAATAAAATGAACAAATCATGATCGAGAGAAAAAGAAAAAAATCATATTGCATTATTAAGTAGAGAAAATGGAAAAAGCTTTTAATGTACTATTGAATCAATATTTCTTATCTTATGGATACCTTATCTTACGTTTTCTCATAAGGCATAGAACCTAACCAGTATGTCACTGAAGGAAATTTAAATTACCCGAAATCCTCAGCTAAGCTACAAACCACTCACTACCTCTGTAGAAAAAGAACTAGGAATAGGAAGTGTGCGAATTGTGGGGGAAGAGAGAAGGCACATTCATCATCGGGGGGAAGCGGTTGAAGGGAATAAAAAGGAACATACTAAGCACGTATCACCTGTGTGTGTGTGTGTCTACACGCATGTGACTTTGCTACGTGTGAGAGCCAGCAGCACGCTTGTGAGAATTACTTTCAGTTCAGTTTTAGATCGTAACCTTTCTGCCTGCAGGAAATGAGGACCTTGAAAGACAGCTTCTCCCTTCTAGGTTTCATTTTCTCCCCCCATTCAAATTCTTTTTCACACAGCTAGGTTTTTTTCTTGGCTCAGAGAGCACAGTCATGCCGTTACTTTAAGAAAAGAAGCAAATAAATCCAAATAATCAATGCATAATTAAAGGCAGAATGACTTCCCTTCAGTCAGCTTACCAAAATCACTGCTGCAAATGGCCATAAGAAGTTCCACGTTGTCACAAGGACGGCACATAGCTAGAAAAAAAGAACAGTTAGTTACTTATAATACTATACTATGTCCCCAAAAAGGACTGGGGAATTACCAGAGGAAATGGGGCAGAACTACTAGCTTAAAGAGCGTTATGATCAGATGCAAACCAAAATTCTTGTTATGCAAATACAGCCAAAGCAAATAAGCACAGAGGATTTGTAAGAGTCATTGAGCGACAACAGGGCCTGATAGCATATAATCCCTGTAACAACTGATGAAGCATGCAAAAAATAGAGCAGAAAACACAGCACCTGGCACATACCTATCCTTTATAATTTTTCAACCTTTTCAAATTTGGTTCTGTTTTGACAGAAAGAGGGGAAGATCCTCCTATATTACTTCTGGATTACAAAAGACAAGAATAAAAACAAGTATCTGTGTGTGTGCTGGGAGCTACGATGACTTCAGACAACGAGCAGCTCCACAGCCAGGGAACACTCCGGCATTGCCTACTGAAATGGTAGTTATCCAGCATGGATGTGGTTGAATTTTATTCCAAGTGTGGGCTAGCAGCATAAGTCATTCCATATGTTAGTGATAAAAGAAAACACCCCATGCCACATCTGGTCGTAGGGTTCATTGAATCAATCGGGCTCTGTTCCCCCATAAATGTAATTTGTTATCCACACCCTTGGTACGTGCCCTGTTTGTTATCAAAAGCTCCCGTCTTGAGTAGTGGGCAATCAGGCCAGTGATCCTATTCAGCACTTCCCAAAATAAGCACATTCCCTGAGTTAATGCCATGAAGCTCCAGCAAACAGCAAAGCCATGCAAAGTGGCACAGATTAACGAAGAGGAGAGGAGAGGACAACTCAAAAGCACTATGGCTGCTCTTTTTTTTAACCTCTCTGCTTTAAGGGCAGCTTCTTGCCGTTGCAACACGGCTTGAACACTCCCCTTTGTAACAGGCGGTTTGCCCAGGGCAGCAGGGATATAACGGCAGCAGTACGAGGGTCCTGATTTTTCAGAACTGGGATGGAAAAGAGCCCTCTTCAACCTCAGCGCTCCTTGGATACATAAATGGCGGAGGGGGGGTAAGCATTATTAGGTGTAGGATTATGTTGGTGTAAGAATAGGAAAGAAAAGTAAACGAAGTTTCAAGCAATTTAGATGGCTAATCCAGTTCTCAAAAGATCAGTCTAATTTCCAGCGACTGTCTTGAGGCCTTCGGTTCCTGATGAATTTAAATCCTTTCTGAACGTGGGATTTAGGCTCCTAAAACCCACTCAGGTGTTCCCAATGATGGTTCTGCCAGGGGCTGGGGACACCCATGATCACAGTGCACACATCCAGGACCAAGCTGGCTGCTCATGGAGAGACAGAGCTTCTCTTTATATTGCAGCGTTCCCTCCCGTGCCTATAGGATGCCCCTCATGGTGGAGATCTGAAAACATACTGCACCCGCCAAACAGTCAGCGAGCTGGCAGAAGGATCTCCCTTGCAATGACAAACCCCTCAGCCCAAAACAGCTTCTGTCACTAGGGACGCGCTGGCAAGGTCAATGGATATCGGATGCCACCTTGGATCTGACCCAACACCCAGGCCCCGACGCCGGCCCTG